CGGGGTGATCTTTAAGGTCCTTTCCAGTCCAGGCCATTCTTTGATTCTGTGATTTGTACCTATAACTTAGTGAAATAAACAGAAATTCAGAATACAGAAAAAGATTGATATGGCAGATAATTTTTATCTGTAAGAACCTTTGGGTATCAAGATTAACCTAACTTTGAATGTTTTTGAACACCAAAACCTGCCACTGAATTCAGCTGAAGAACTTGAAATCTACTTATTTTGAAAATCATGTCCAGGTTAATGAAAATTACTAAAAATTAAGAAATGAGAAAATCAATGTCTGTCATTTGAAGATAGAATTTGGATATTGTTCCTCTTTCCCCTTCTCCTTCAATGCACTTACATTGACACTAGAAATACTACAGATCCAGGGCATTGATTGTACTTCTGGAAGCAAAACTACTTGTTGAAATTAGAGGATGTATGCTGGGATTCTGATTGTATATGTAATTTTTTTCAAGTAATTACTGTATTAATAATTCAATCACTCAGGCTAAACAGTTGACAAATGTTAATGAATTCAACACTTGTACACTTCATCCTCCATTTCACTTTTACACAGCTTTGATCAAAGTTCTTTTTGAACTAATGGAAAGATATTAGCTTTTTAAAACTAAATAATGATAGCTTTTAATTCTGAAAGGTGAGATAGAATCTACCTCAAACTGATGGTACATATTATGCCAGTAGTTATGAGTTTATGGCTGGATATTAGGACCACAGGAACCATATAAAATTCAACTCAGGCTTTTTGTAACAACAAATTTTTTAAAAAGTAGAATTTGCAAGCAATCCAAGGAGAATTTGCAAACATACACAGTGCCTGCTTATGCATTCCCATCAATGAAGAAGGATTTTATAGATGATGAAAGCTCTATGTGTTTGGCTGGTATTAGAGAACTATTCTTTAATTATTCAAAGAGCCTGAAGTGGGATATGCTGAAAATAATATGTGACTGACACTTTGAGGTAGGGAAAGATATAATGCAGTTTTTAGCTGAGTTTTACCCAAATGCTAAATTCCTGTTTTAAAATAAGAACTAGCAAAATTATTACGAACAAATTACATAAATATTTCTGGTCCAGACTCCGCTTAATGTGCAGGTTTCCTGTGTTCAGTTTACAGTCTGCAATTGCTGGAATCCTCTTATGTTGAAAAGGTAACCTGGCTCCATCTCCCTTGGGTCTCCCTTTGAGCCCTCAGACATGACTGAGCCACGTAGAAATTAGGGAGCTTAGCAGTTCTTCCAGTACATTTTTGACCTACTGCTGATCACTGCTATGTGCTGTGAGATTCTCTTTCTACCACTGCTGATGCTACTGCCTCATCTGACAGATATTCAGGTGGTACATTCCTCCAGCAAAACTTCCTCTCTTAAATTTGTGCTTTCTTCCACAATATCCATTTTCATTAGTGGAAAATTCCCTTTGTTTTCACTTGAAAATGCTAATGCACGTAACTGTATTAAAGCTGTTCAAAATTTCAGAGAGATATTATTATTTTGAATTAAATATAAAACTAAATGTGATTAAATTTTCTAGTAAGTAAGAACTCTTATTCTAAATACATTCTTTCAAAGAGGAAAATTGGTTTTTGTAAACAAAGAACTTTAAGATTCATCTATCTCTTCTTAAATTCATCAAGGATTGTACTGAGTATGTGCCTGCTATGATTGCATACAGATGTGTTTTTGCTGTAATGACAAAAGGGAATAAAGTGCCTTAAGAAACACTTTGAGGTAAACATTTGAAGAGCTTATATTGCAGTTTTGGAAGTTTGTATTTTCCCCTTCAGTAATGCAAGAAGATGGCCTCTGATGATGGCTCCTTAGGGAGCTATCAAACAAACAAATGAATAAAGAACATAGAAAAAGCCAATAATTTGCATATAATCAAACTCACTGACCCTCAGTTTATTACAACACTGGAAAAGTGCATTCAGTTTGGCAATGCTGGAAGGTTGACTAATGAAAGTGTAAATTACAGAAGGACCTGGAGGGGGCACAATTAGCTAAAAAATGAAAGCACTGACTACCCAGTGTTCTCATAGTTAAGGAAAATAGATTTGTTTTTCCCCCTTGCTTTGAATCAAATAAATACTATTGAAGCCCTCACTCCAAGTTATACTTAGAACCATGATAAGATACTTCTTAGCAAAATGTAATAATCAGTTTAATTTATATATTTAATTGCTTTATGAATATTGCTATTTCTTTTTTTCCCTATTACAATAATGTTTCTATGCATTATCTTGCTGGAAAATCAATTAAGGTGAGCAGTTCGAAGATAAATGTGCAACTTCTTGGCTAAAACCTGGGAAGAATTCCTGACATTTGTTCATTCCTCCTCCCCTGCCAACTTTTTTTTACACTGCTGAGTGACTGGTATCACCTTATAAGTGTTGACATTTCTCACATCTAATACTTCACCTTGCAATACTGACATTCTTTCACCCAGTCAAGAATTTATTTAATTGCTTTCATCACCTTTTGCAGTCTGGATCTCCTGATGCTCATTGGTCACCTTTTTAATAAAAATATTTACAGGCCTCAATGCAATAGTCACCTCACATGCAGAAGCTACATCTTTTTACTATATGTAGGACAGGGAACAGTCTGGGCAGCCTAAGTTTAGCAGAACTGTTAAAGATATTGCTAGTAATCATTTTAGTCAGAGCTTAATATTTTGAGATCATATTTGAATTTACCTTTGAGGTAACCTTTACCACCAAGGCAGTCCCTCCTCTATAAATCTAGCTCTTTGACTTTAAGTCTTACTATTTTACATCTCAGAACATCCCCTGTATCCCTGTGTGCCTAAATTAAAGTAAGCAATAAGTAAAATTGCCTCACTTTGATTCCAAACCTTCCTGTCAGCAAAAATATGAAGACACAAAACCCGAATCCCAGCTGCCAGCCTGAAGTACAGCAATCATCCCCAGGGAATGTTTGGTGTAAGCCCCTTTTGATGATTTTACCCAGTGAAGGCAGAGGTAGGCAGCCCCACAGAAAATTCTGTGAATTAATAATTCACATAGCACTGTTTGGCTTGGGCTGCCTGCACTAAGTTGTAGGTGAATACTAGGATGTATTCACCTGTTGTGAATATATCAAGTTGAGGACTTTAGTTCTTTGGGAAATTGTCGCCTGAAAAATGAACAGAGAAATGAGGACATTGGAAAAAGAGACTGAGGGAGGGGACTACTTCATTATACATACTGGGATTAAAGCTTTTTTTAGTCTATAGCTAAAATAAGCACAAGGTGCTGATTTTCAGCAGTGAAGATCCAAGAGGTGTGAGACAGCTGTGTGCATTCACACATCCAAACAAGAGAAAGTCCTTCAAGTAAGCAGTGTTCAGTAAAATGAGATCTATAGACTCTCTATCATCTGTTTACTGCTGAAGACTCTCAAACAGTAACACCAAAGCCAAGAGGATTACTGACCCTTGCCTGGCAGATCAAAAGGAATGGCAATATCTGCCACTGTCCTGATGAAAAGAGTTGCTGCACCTTTTACTTGTTGGGTGAAAGCATCTTTTATCACGCATGTAGCTCTAATACTCACAAATAGTCTGTGGTCAGGCTAATACAAAGTTAACACCCCACACCAACTGCTGCAGTAGCAACATAACAGCTGGATTGGGCACAGGCCCTTCACAAACCAAGCTCTCTAGTGCTTTGCTTGGCTTTAATTTTCTCATTCTTGTTTTTCTGCCATCACTTTCTGCATTCAGCTGCTGCCTAACTCATAGTTACCTAGCAATACTGTAGTGTGATTGTCATTGATGACATGTTATCATTTTAACATTCAAGACTGGCATTAGAATAGAAAAAGGGAGCTAAAATGGATGCCCGCTTTCCCCCCCACATAATTTCTTCACTTTCAAGAAAAGAACTTGAACTTAAAAATTACTCTAAATCTTTCTAAGACAGTAATGCTGTGCTATACAAGAAGCTTCTTAGAGTAACAGTTAAAGGGTTTTTTTAAAAAAGCTTTAAGTATGTCAATCTCACTTCTGTAACTTAATAAAAATTTCTTCATGGATTGATGTGTCAAGTTAAGGGATAACTTACTGTCAAGATAGGGAATTCATAAATGCTTCAAAGAATGTTGAAATACATGTTTCTAGAATCCCCAGCATGAGGATTTTACTGCAGAGTGGAAAGACAAGTCAGGGGAAAAGCCTGCTGTTCATTCACTGACTAAGACCTGACAAAGTATTGAGAAAGGTCTGTCGGCATCTTAGAAACCAAAAATATTTGCAAGTATGCATTTTTATTCTACAACAGTCTTCCATAAAGGAAAATAGGAATTAGTAACATTTTAAAAGAACTCCAGTGAGTTTGAAATGTAATGAAAAACTTTTAAAAACAGACTAGTAGGGCTTTAGCTTTAGTTGTTTCAGTTGCACACCAAAAGCCCCAGCGCTCTTCCTTGTGACTGTCTTACATACCTTGTGTCTACCCTTATTCAGTACACCTGCTATTTGTGCTGGATGTCATTGTATGTGTCAATCTTGTCGGATCTAGAAAGACAACTTAGTGGTAAGCAGGAGTGTAGATAATGCAGGTGCTTAAAGCAATTGTTGCACAGGCCCATTTTGTTTGCTGGAAAGTGTTTTGAAGCAGAGCTGTTCTGATTTGAGCCTGCCTAGGTGTAAGGTTTTAACAGAGAGCACAGAAAGCACTCACAGTTGTGAATCTTTATTCCAAAAAAGAGCCAGCTGGCAAAAAATAGAATAAAAATATTTGCTTAAATATTTTTCATACAGTGGCAGGGTAGTGGGACTACTCTTAGATGCCCACCCAGCCATAGCAAAAAAGCATACCGTGAAAGTCAGGCCATACCTATCTACTCCCTCCTCTGATGCAGGGAGGCTGAGAGCAATTCTCTACAAACACTCCCTCACACACCTGTTCAGCTTGAGATTTGCAAGCAGGCAAAGCGAGGAATGTTTGCACCAAATTAAGAGACTTTTAGAGTCAGACTTCACAGCCCACTCGTCCTGGGCTCCTTTTGGCCAGCAGCTGAGCCTCCCGGCTGCTGGGCTGCTGCCTCATCCCCGGGAGGCGGCGGTGCCGGGAGCTGGGGTTTGGAGCCAAAGTAATCCACGAGCCTCTGCCTCGTTGCCGCGACTTCTTCTTGAAAAGAGTTTATTGTGCACCTGCCAACTTTGCACTTGAATCAAAGCAAGAGATTGAGCCTTTTAGCTGAGCAGTTTAATTTTGTAGCTCAGCCAAATTCCAACCCCCCGCTCAGGTTGCGTTAGGGTATCAGCGCTCCACGATAGCGATCGTACCCTGCTCAGCCTGGTTCACAGCCCTCCCAGCTATCGGTGACGGTATCCTTGGGGCTGAGTGTTCCCACCTGAAGCTGCTGCTTCTGATTTTTTATATACTGGACTTAGAAATAAAATCATATTATGGCCAAGACCCCTTTTGTACTGTGAAACATTGCTCTAAAATCGTTCACAGTTCAAGTTAGGTAACACCATGACCTCACTCTTAGTCCACCTTCTAAGATATCACTGTGCCACGTGATCCTATTTTTTGGTACTTTAATCTGTTGCACAGTGATCTTAAATGCTTATCCTTGACAGTCATCAGGTATATATTTGATACAGAACATTATTAGCAAGGCAAAGATCTTATTTGTGCAAACCCACCAGCAAGTAATATGCAGAACCTTTTACTGTGCCTCATCAGGGAACTTAGTTCACTTGATTCTTACTATCACATAGGATTAGGGCTCATATCAGCTGATCTTGATCAACAGAGCAGCTCAGTTGTGTGCTCTTTTACATGTCCATACTATGGCATGAAGTCCCAGAACTGGGGAAGAGTAAAATATTTGAAATGGCCTTTAAAGTTTAATTAGGCAGATTAATATGTAAAACTGGACATGTGAAGCAATGACCTGGTCAAATTTTGTCTTTTCATGTACATTGTTCATCCCTCCTGAGAATGATAGCGCTGCTCATGTTGAGTTTTCTGCACTGATTATTGCACCATATATATATATTTCTGCTGTAATGAGTTGTTGGAAAAACACTTCTGAAGGAAACAGGTTTGTATTCAGAAGCCAGCCAAACTACACTGAGAAGTGCCTAGGTGCAGACTTCTTAGCCAATAATATACATAAATCATTACTTCAGAATAAGTCATGTTCTAGCCTTAGACAATCATTCCTGGTTGATGTTTGGAAGTCTTAGTGAGAGAAGTTCTTGTTTATATTCTAGCTTTGAATTTCAGATTACGTGGTTAGCACTTACAATGAAGGTCCTCAGTCGAGTCATCTCCAACATGTAGTACTCCTCCATTGTCAGCTCATCAAAGTGCTTGGGAAGGGATAAAAAGTCACAGGTGTGACGTTTGGTGTGCTCCTCCCTGCAATATAAACCCAGAATCAGAACAGATCTTAAACCCATGGAAGTTTCACTTCAGGAGATGAAGAGGTCTGTGCAGGAGGTCTCTTCAGCACTTGCGCTGTCTATCAGCAGAATCAGTATCATACAGAAAAGATGAAATAGATTTTAGTGGATCTCAGATAAAACTAGTTGAACAATTTTACGACAAGTGGGCAAGATAGACTACCAGTTTTGTGAACTGTTGTTGTAGAAAACAGAAGGGACTCATTGTAAAATTACTAAAGAAATTTGGAGAGGTACTTCAAGAGCATTGTTACATCTGTGCTTACCATGGGTCATCATTTGGTTCCCAGTCCGCCAGTTCTAACAAGCAAAAGAAACATTTTGCCACATCTGGTTCATTTTCACCTGGACAATGGATGAAGCCAGCCTTTGCCATCTGCAGGGGACAGTTTAGAAGTTTAGAGCCTTATCCCACACACTACTCATGTTTCCTGCCACTTTATGATGTCCAGTCAGGACACCAAAGATTAATTTTGTTTCAGTAACCAAACACCTTCTCAGGTAATTCTTGCACAGTATGACTCCTCTGAGATTCAGGCTAGCGGTATCTTGTGTGTGCCAAGGTAGAAGTCAGGTGGATTTTTAATTCAAATAATTTCCATTTCTGAATTTGAAGTACTGATCTTTAGCCTACTAGTTTACCCACTACTTTATCCCTCCTGTTGGAGATGTACTTATTTAATGTAGGCTGCTTTGTCATGAATAGAAATTTGCAATTAGAAAGAATATGTAATACAATAAATTAATTTTTAAATGACAGAAATAAAAACAAAAAAATGGAATAAGACCAGTAACTATTAAAATCTGTAGGCAGACTAGAGGACTAACACAGAATAACCAGTAAATCCCACTACAGGATTTCTGAGCAGGGAACAGAGGAAAGCTGAATATTTAACTTTTCATCTTCAGGCTTAGTGGACTTCTCTTAAACCTGAATATACTTAACAATGACTTCACATTCAGTCATAGTACATACAAATTAAGGCAGAGGCAAAATAACCATTTTCAGACTTACATTCTCTGGAGTGCACTTGCAGTTCTCCTGGAAGGGCCACTTGGTGAAGGTTTTTAAACGCCTCTCATATTCATACATCTCCTTAAAATCAGTTAAGAGCTTGGAAGCTGAGCTAAGCTCTTGCAGGAGGGTCTCCATCAGGGAAGCCTGCAGTCAGTATAGGGTAGAGCCTCCCTCCTGTTCTCCCATTTAAGGCCTTTGCTAATTGGTGACACAATTGCACCTGCAGAGCAGGGGAGGGCCTAAAGGTGAGTCTATGAGCAGGACAACCAAGGGAAATAGCTACTGGAATCTCTTCCCCTTGTGTCTTAGGTCATATATTTTTTAAACACCTATAGTAATTACAGATTTTACAGTTGAAATGTCAGAAACTGTGTGTTAAAAATTCTAGTTACAAGTATGGAAACTTTGCATGTAAAGTTTTAAAAAATGCTGTCCTGAGTGCAGCCAAAGGGGTTGAATTAACATTGCTATTTGAATCCTTCAGTGTTTCCTGAATTTCGTGTTCAGAGATGAATTCTTAGGATTGTCTTTGCGCTTCTTTAAAGAGGAGGTGGTTATTTTATAATATTATAATATTTCTATTCTATTTTAAAATATTATAGAGCATGGTCAGATGATGTATATTATTTTAAAGGTGTATATTTATAAGGGTTAACAGTATCAAAGCATCAAGCTGTCACTTTATAAACTGTCTCTTATTTTGGTACAGAATCCAGTTAAATTCAGTAGAAGTTTAAACATCAGTGTCCTCAAGACTGCTGCATGCAACAGCTTTCTAAGCCAAGATCTTAACACTTCTGAAAGATGTTGCATTGTGACACTTGAAAATTTAAATTTTCTCTGAAATACAGATGGAGTAAGTGCAGAAAATAATCCAGTACATTATTCTGTCCAGATGTGGTGACAGAAATGAGATTAAAGAACATTTGTACAGGATTTCCAATGTCAGCTCTTAGAGAATTGTTTTTGCTTAGATTTACAAATGCTACATCACTGATTCCTCTGGGACTGTACTGGTGTCTATTTTTATGTGCAGGAATACTGTCCTTGAAATTTATATTCAGATATTTAGAGTAACAAGTATTACATGAAAATAGGACTCTTTAATTCCTTTTTTTTCTTTTCTTTTTCCAGATAATACCAAGGTGTAGGAAATGATCATTCATGTACTGGGCCCTCCAAGCACTGATATTTATAGTTTCTCCTGGTGCTGACTTCATGGCAGCCCTTCTTAAGTTAGTTGATGATCAGGTATTTTAATCTCTTTTTTACTGTAGTTGATGTTTGTGTATGTGTGTGTGCATGTGTGAGTGTATTTGTATGAAGCAAGGAACTTTGTATATTTAAAAGTTGAAATGCCAAACTAAACCCAAAACTGGTTTTTAACTGCCCAAAAATGTGGTAAAATTGATGTCATGCTTCTCTTTAATAGAAGGCACTAATTCATGTAAATGGATTGCTTTCAGGTATTAATAATTTGTCTGTTGTTTAAAAGAAACTGTAGGTTAAATATTTTGGCATATTTTATCAACTTGTGATGTCATGATCTATTTAACTACTTAGTTTGTGCCATTTCAAATGGAATGGAAAATGCAAAAATGGACAATGCAAAAATGGAACAATACCATAATAGTTTAAATGTTTCTTGTAAGCAGTCTTATCTGAAAATGGTGTATTTTTCAAACACGCATTATTGTGTAACACATTATTTAATCAAAAAACACCACAGTAATATGGGACCTTGGAGTCCTGGGTGACATTTATACATCAGAATTGAAATACGGATTTTTATTTGTTTTTTTCCTTTGACTGTATTTATGGCACTTAAAACAAACAAAAAATTCCCAACAGCCCAAATCAGTTCTAATGTAGAAAAGTACTGCTAGAATACTGGAAAGTAAGATTATACATGTAATAGCACATTCTAAGCTGTATTTCCTGCATTTCTTGCCTGTAATTCTGTCAGAATTCTGTGCTGTAGAGAATGACAGGTCCATTTCAAGTCTCCAGCCACCAAGCTGCAAATGTATCCTGCATTTTATAGTAGGTTGTCTACATCCTTCAGGAGAATACTGTTTGCAGAAGTGTTCTGAAACTGTCAGAATTTCATAGGTCCAGATTAAATGGATTGGTGGTTGGAGCTTTTCACTGGAAGATACATAAGAGATGGCATGACATGAAAGAAAACTGTATTTTAAACTATACAGTATATTAAATATCTGATATCCACTATCTGATCCTGAATTTTACAGTAAGTGCAGAAAACCTGTGAGTAATGTTGCAACTTTGTAAATCAGTTAAAGCAGACTTTGATGAATGTGTATCTATGATCTGAGGGGAGAAAGCCTCAGAAATGAAATAGTTGTCTTCCACTGCAAGGAAAGTAGTTTCAATTACTGCCAATAGTGGAGTAAATGGATTTTTTATTTTATTGCTTGTCTCATATTTCATCAATTGAAACTTGTTGCTATGGCCTTAATAATACAGCTCTTTTTCTGGTGTTCTTTTTAAAAAAAAGTTAAGACTGAGAAAACTTATCCTGTTTTAATAATTTGATATGTGTTTGCAATCACATTTTACATTATTTTGCATTATTTTTCTATAATTAATGTAGATTATCTAAATGAGTTTATATATTTAGCCAAAAGGTCTCAGTTAAAAACCAAATCAAACATTTCTACCTGATGTCTTTGTGTAAAGGCCAGAAATTGAACTTGGTAAGGATTGTATGAACAATATTTTATGATACAGAGGTCTTAAATGTGTATGTGCATGGTCTCATACATACAGTTGTATGTAATGTATATTAATTAGATGTACACAAATAACTTTAAAAAATAAAATTGCTTTGAGGTTTCAAGGGACTGTTTGGAGCTGATGCTCATGACCATTTAAAGACCTCCCGGTGAAGGCCTTGGTTTGTCAAGAGAAGGTTTCCCTTGACTCACAAAGCTAGCGGGTGGAAGCTGGGCTCTGAGAGGCTCAGCTCTGAGCAGTTCCTGCAGGGTGTAAAGCATCCTACTGCCACCCCTGAGGGCTGCCCGGGATTTGCTCAGTGTCAGGGACAAGGCCAGCCCCTGGGCTGCTGCAGGGTGCATCCAGCCGGGATCCAGCTGAGGAGCTGTTTCCCATAGAAGCCTCTCAGGAGTTTGCCAGCTCTACTGTTTTTTACTATTTTTCTTGTTCCAGCTTCCTAAGCAGCCCACCAAGGCCAAAGTCTGTTCAAGTTATGGATGGGCAGGAACAGGGGTGCTACTATCACTGTCAGCCTGGAGTGATTTTGGTTATTAATGTGGTTAATGTGAAAATTCAAGCAACAACATGATTTATTAACAGGCAAGAGATTCAAGCAACTCCACGGAGGTGTTTCTTTCCTGAAAGAGAGTGGGGGGGCCTGTGAGGGGGATGTCTTCCTATTACATGACTAAAGGTTCTGAACAAATAACAAATACAGTTCCTGGCAGGGAGTGAACCTGTTTTTGTCCTAAAGGATAATGATTTGGATGTAGCAAACATTTCTTGGTACTTTTTTTGACTGTTTTGCTTCATTCCAGGTCTCAGTACATCACCCATTCTTGCCTTCTTGCAAATAATTTTCTGCTATCACTCTTTTTTTTCTTCTTATGCACCTCAGAGGAGTCCAGCTTCTCCCAACCACAAGAATTTAAGCAAGCTTTATTTTCTAAAAATATAAAGAAATAAAAAAAATGATGAGGACAGCTATGGCCTTGTGATAGCATACTTTTATTTTAGAAAGATGCCAAAGAAGTAAGAGATAATTTGGTAGAAATTTTTCCATAAACTTGTATCCAGGGAGTTTCAGCTGCAGTACTATGGAAATTTTTGGTGCTATTATTCTTCAAAAGCAGCAATGTCTGGCTGGCTTGTGGGATGATTATTAAAAAGTATTTGAAGGGCTGGAGATGAAATGGTTCAAGCATGAACTAGCAGAAGTAATTAACAGCTTTTAAACTTTCCAGTGAGAATTCTGGCTGCCTTCCAAGTGAATTACAGTGATACTGATAGGGCTGCCCAGGGAAGTGCTGGGCTGCAGCTCAGATCACTGTCCTGTTTTCCTGCAGGAACTGCCAGCTGATGCTCCTCACTGCCACTGGGGAATGCAGTTATGGTGCCAGAGGCACTGAGAACTGGGATTGGCTCTGTAAGTGTTCTGAAGATGTTATTTTTCTCAGAAATAGTTACAAATGTCAATTATATACTTGATCCAAGCGGTGTTTATTTTGCCTCTCCTCAGGGAGATGTAAGTATTTCAGAACAACAGAACTACCAAGAGCTATTTTTATTTTTTTTTTTAATAGATGTATCTTTACTGAAACTGATGTGTCTCAGTGTTTACTCAGTCACTGCTTTGGTGGCTTAATCTCACCTTCTATCAGGCCTTGTTTCAGTGACTTCTGAGAAAGGGACGTTATGTAAACACCACCCAATTACTGTCATTAAATTGACTCTGCTCTGTGTGAGTCAGCACTCGGGGGACAGTAAGTGAGAAACACAACCTAGTGAAGTTAAAGGCATTTTAAAATAGGCATACGAGAAATTATCCATTATATCTTCTAGAGGCAGAAAGGCCACAATAATCAGCTTAATTTATCACACAGGAGTTGTGTCAGTCACAGCAAAACACCTTCAGGCACTTGGCAGGCTGTGGGCTTGGTGGGGGGCCACAGCCCCTTGCACTTGGTATCTAATTTTAACGGAATTTTTGTCAGCTCCCAGATTTTTTCAAAAATTATATCTTTTATATCTTAGTTTACACACTTTATTCATCACTCTAGGAAAGCCTGTAGTGGTTTTGAAGTACAGCTTGTGGCCTCTTGTGAGCTACTTGGCTGCTTCTGCATCTTCTTTTCAGTCTAGAGGTATTATTTTTCCCCCACCCTTTCTCCATACCAAAGCTGTACTGAATATACAAAGACACTTGCACAGAATCCTTTCCCAGAGGTCTTTGGCATGACTGAAAATGCTGTTAGTACCAAGGATCAGTCAGGAACACAACTGCTATTTGACAGCATTCTTACACAAAGCCACACACCACCTTACCCTAACCTTCTACTGGATGTCCATGTTTGTATGTTCACATTCCCTCCTGAGTTTTTACTGTACTTCAATGGAGA